AAAAACGTTTTTATTTCCAATTTAAACTGTGCCTAAATAATTTTACTTTGCCTCTAAATTTGATATGGAATTTTTTTATCTTTTGCAAGAAATTTAATATTTTCTAAGCAAAAAGACCTTCAACGTTATAACCTGTATTCATATAGGACACCATGTCGTATGAGCAACCGATAAACACTTGTACACTTTTCACTATGCAGATATCACTAAACTTTAAATTCACCTCTTGTTGCACAAACACTTATATATATTCAATGGCAGCGAGACCGGCATAATTTATTTTTATATTTGCTGGCTTCTTTGTTGATAAACGAAAGATTTGCTCCCATTTCCAAATCCTTTCCGACAGTTACTTTTATAAACTTTTGACGAAGTGAATTTATCGCGTTCCCAATTACTGACATACAGTTTCGTACATTGACAAAATATCGGGTTTTCACAACAAATTGTTATGTAAGTGAGCAACTGTGTATTTCCTTACTGTAACCGATGAGTTTGTGTGGCTTAAAGTATTAACGATTTTAAGCAGACCAAGTTTTTTGCATTAAGTGGACGATGAACGCAAAAAACCGGTTATTATATTATATATCGGAATCTTTAATCGCGTAATTGCATTTTTTGCCTTGCTTAAAGTTTGTGTTATCAGCATAAACTTTCGCTTATGAAATTTACTGTACTAAACGGCTTCTTGACACATATGAGGGCTGCAAAAAAGGGAAATACATATTCAATTAGTTATACGCCAGGTTTACCATTGCTTATAGTGGCTTACTACAGGATTACGCAAAATTAATCCTCCTCCTATCAGAAGATGCTATAAATTTTGCGATTGACCTCTAATGTCAGTTCTGTTTTGACATTTGTGTAGTAAACACATGCGATATACATGTAAATAAACAATGGTACACTATACTGCTCCAGAACGCGGGTTATTGGAGACTATTTATTTCATCAATAATTGGTCGGTGACTTGGCACAACGTGAATTCACCGCAGATTTCCTGGCCGTTTGACGCCTACTGGTGAAACACTGCGACGTTTAGCCACTCGCCCTGATGAGACTGGTACAATACGAGATGCTGCTCGGCGTTGCAGAACCCGTTGTAGTAGTTCTGGAGAGAATATTGCTGCTGTTGCCGAGGATGTCATGGAAGCGCCGTCGCCGTCGAATAGACGATGTGTCACGCAAATGGGTATCAGTCGACGATGTTTACCTCGAATTTTATAAAGTCCAGACAGTGCCTCAGCTGTTAGCTGCTAACCGCTTATCGCGTCTAACATACACTATTTCGCATTTCCATCTTAGCGGGTACTGGGGCCCTGAAAATCCGCGTGAAACCCACGAAGAGCCATTACACCCGCTCAAAGTCGAGGGCCAAACGATTACTGTCAGTGGTGAGCATGACAAAGCAATGATCAACGAGTGCAACTTGATGAATTGGGATTGGAAAAAAAAAACAATAACAGACAAACAACATCAGAAGGTAATTTTTGCGCCACCTGTTATTTATGTAATAATTAAACATAACAAAATAATTATTTAGAATTTTATTAGAAAGTAAATCGCTTTGTCACCTATTCACTACCTGTCACTTACTAAGACTTTAATATTTAAAATATCTGCAATAAAGTCGAATGGATTTGACTGACAATTTGTGTCCTTTTAAGCACCAAATTATTTTGTGATAATCGTAACATACTTACCCGATTTTACTAGGATATCTTACATATTGATCAATATATAGAATTAAAGTAATGTTTCCTTATTGTCTGAAATGCTAAGAGCAGTTACGAGTCCTAAACTATCCATGCTGACGCTGTTTCTTAAAGCATAACTCTATGTTAGTTTTAATAAATAACCTGTCTCTTATACACATCTAGATGTGTATAAGAGACAGTCTATGTTAGTTTTAATAAATAACCTTTTATGGAAAAAAGGCGGGGTTATTAATTGAGTTCACAGTATCAAAGTAGTGRTGGTGGTGGTGGTAGTTCAATTTGTATTTGGGATTAAACTGCTCTGAAAACTTTGATTTTTCCACAATTATAAAATCACGCAAGAAAAAAGCAAAGATACCTATTCAGGAAGACGCATAATAATTGACTTAATATATCCCCTTGCATGTCCATATAAGAAATCTTATAGTAATCTTATAGAGGATTCTAACCACATTTTCGTCGAACTACTTGTAGGTATTTGGTACAACTACAACAATATTTTCAGAACGTGACCAAGCAACACATAAAATGAAATAATTTCAGCATCACCCTTTTTTATCTAAAATCTCCTCGGATATCAACAACATTTAGAAATAAAAATCCTTTAACTTACATTTATTATTTCTGTGCTCAAATCCTTAAGCCACCAAAATTTGTACTTACCTAAGGATATCACATTTTAACTGTGTACTATAACATAGAGTATCGTGCTATTAATTCCTGTTCCGCAATTTTTTTCATCGAGCAAGAGCTTCAGCGCTTTTAGAGTTTGAAATGGCTATCAGAAAAGTCTAGTAGCTGAAAATCCGAAATAAAATATTTGTTTTCCTTGGGAAGGGACGCAACTATTATTGAGTAATCGCAGGTTACTCGAATCCACACAAACTAGAGAATAAACGAGCCTTTTGACTCGTATATTTTTCTCACTCTTCGTTTTCTTAATTGTCGTCTGAAATGCGTCAGCCTTTTTTCCATTTTTATTTTGGCGTCAATGGTATCTCGACCAAGTCCAGACAAGTCCTACTCCACCTGACCCCTCCAACGAAGTGGAAAACTTCCGCTTCCTTTGCTTCCACTGGTAGGTCCGTAGTGTTCTCTTCCATTCGGACAACATGACCTAACCAGTGTAGCTGGTGTCTCTTGATTCGCTGAGCTATGTCCCTTTCGCCGTATATCTTGTACAGCTGATCGCTACATCGAAAGACCATACCTCCGCACCATACAGCAAGGTGAGAATAATTAAGGACTTGTACAGTTTGGTCTTTGCTGGTCGAGAGAATACTATATTTTTCTACTCAATCCWAGRAAGTACCTGTTGGCARTAATCTGCGTTTCTGCGTTTGATTTATACGAAATTTTCTWTAACTTCAAAGTTAAGACTTTCCACAGTGACATATGGACAAAGTCGCGAATGTGATGACTGTTTGCTTGATGACAGGAGATACTTCCCATCCCTTTCTTATCATGTCTGGAGGAAGCAAAAATGATGGCGCAGATATTGATTCCCATGATATCATAAGTAGAAAAAGTCAAATATGTTGGCATTTTGGTTAAGGCATCGATTTTGCTAAAAGTCAAATCGCGGGGTATGATTGGTATATGTTTAAATTATGTAGGAGATTTGCATGTGATAAGACTTCTGCAACAACTTAAGACAAGTGCACTATTAGAGTGTGTTCGGATTCTCTAGAAATTTAAAACTTGATGAAAACATGATTTGATTTTTTCTCTGCTATTTTTCCAAATTTTACAAATAAATATGAGTATTTCCAAAATCTACTGGGTGATCCATTTCGAAATCCCTACTTCTTTGAAGAAAAAATATAAAAACTTCAAATTAAAGGGAAAAAATAAAATTCTTAGGAATTTAGTAATTTTTAATATTAAAATTTTTAATAATATCTTTCGGATGTTTGCCGCAGCTATATCTTAGATGGTCCATCCGTTGAGTTCAAATTTTAATGAGTCTTTAGGGCATTTCGACTTTTAACTGGCAAATGATTCTTGTTATGCTCCAACGACCTGAACCAAAACAGAATAGTTCGCACAGAATTTACCATTCTCTTATCCTCACAGGAAAAAGTCTAACGGTGTGATATCACAAGATTTTTGTGGCCAATCGACCGGCCAAAAATGTTAAATTTTTTGCTCACCGATCACAAGCTTCACTTTCAGCATCAAACAGTCGGCTATCATGACACGATAATTATCGCCATTGACGGTTACGGTCAAAATGGCTTCAGTTCTTGCACAAGCTGTATTTTGGACGCTTTCAGTTTCAGATCTTGTTTTTGTCAACGTGGTCCATCTGATGCTATCCAATACTGAATGATGATTCTGAAATTCTGAAGGTGGGTGATGGTGAAGCGAATAGTATGCTCAGTAAACCACTTATGTTGACCATAAGTTGAGCAAACTGCTCGAAACACATGCTCAGCAATAGGTATAAATCTTTCAATGATGAAATACCAAATAATACTGTAGAAAAAAATGACGTGAACGATAGACACGACTCCCGCGAGATCTGTCAAAAAAAAACGCAATAAAAAAGTACCTCTATTGGATTCGCCCGTTATTACTTAGTAGAAGTTGCTGCTAGTTATTGAATTTACTCCTTTAAGTGATATTACTTACCGTTACAGAATTATGCTTCAATAATATTTTAAACAAATACATCCATTTTTTATATTTTTATTTTTATGATTCGTGCAACAAATCTATTCGTCTTACAGAGTTCATATTATAGAATTTGTATAATAATTAATTATATTCTACCTACTTACTTAAGCTCAATGCAAACTGTCGGTGCCTGGAGATGACAGTGGACATATGCTGCTAACACATTATGCAAGCTAGCTTTCTGATGGAATTGTATAAGTGTCAGCTCATATGTTATTATAGTTCCAGCAACCGAAAAACATTGAACACACAATAACAGAAAGCACAAGATAAGAAAAACAGAATGTAGAACTCCAGAAAGGCAGGCTAATAATTATTTAGTTTGAATATGGTAAATTGATACTCACGTATAACAAAAAGAAGGTCAATTTGAAGAAAGACAACAAAAGAACGGAAACCAGAAATCAGATTCCACAAAAAAGAAGTAAGTAGAGTTCATTACACAACAAAGAAAAAAGCTCGAAGGCAGTGCAGAGATACGTTCCGCGTAAGCCATGTCCCGCAACAAAGTGCAAGTGCAGAAGTAATGAATAGGCAAATCGCCGAAGTGCCAGCACACGTGACTGCCCATCCACAAAAGATCGGCAGAATGCAAGGCTGTACGATACTTACGCTCAGCACCAACTTCCATGGGAGATGAAAGAATTTCATGCCACTTAATGCAACCAAATCGGTGCTAATATCCTCCGATGAACGTTTCACCACAGTGCACCAAGACTCCTTCGGCACGCAGCGTAACTCGCGCAACGACTTCCGTGACTCATCATTGATGCTGGCCGATTAAAATAAAACGGCCAACGTACGGCGGATAAGAAAGAAGAGTAAGAAGTTAAAGTACGCGAAATGGGCGAGCGATGGCATTTTACTACAATGAGTGAGAGAAAAACAGACGAGACATAAAATTGCCGGCTACTACTCACCAAGCGAACTGAATTATATACCATTACCGAGGCATGTGTAAGCTCACTGAAGACTATGCAGGAGTTGCACACAAATGAAATACAAATTATTCGAGAAGGATGTCATGGTAATGAGCGAAATGGCGCCGTCAATGCGTGTGCAGAGCTCGCACAAGTTCCGGTGTTGTTTGCGTCGCGTCGACCAGTACATATCTGGCATACGCTGTGTCGGTCAGTCGATCACAGAAAGCAATCAAAAATGTAAGGCGGTATTTAGAAATGTGTAAGGTAAGCTCACCATACCCTTGAACTTGAATAAGTTATAGCCGAGCTGCCTAAATTTCACTGCCAAACCAATGCCAACAATCACAACGAAAACATCCACATAATTCCAGATGAAGGTGCAAAGTATGTTCTGTTTGCCCCAAATGGCTTGCGGTTTGAAGAAGGAGAAAATCATAAATAAGTTGGTCAGAATAAAGATAATTTTGGTTGAGTACTCGGTCTGCGGACAATAGTTGTGTGTTCATCTGAAAATATAAAAATAAATTTAAAGAAAATCGAATTTGAGCATATTGAAACGAAGCCTTTACGGTAAAATAGCGCAGATTAACTAAAAATTAAGAAATCTTTATATTATTAGTTTAAATATTTACGGCATCCCAAAAGGTTTAGTTTTACGATAAGTGGTCTAAGAATAGAAGAAAGCATATTTGTTTTAGTTGACTAACAGAATCAACCCATGATTCCGCAATGTTGGGGTTATCCTTAATAAATACATTAAAATTCTATATTATGTTAGCTGTAGTCTAAAACTGTGAAATGCGCCTTTCTGATGATGCCTAACGAACAAACASAACAGTGGTGAGCGCTTCATCTCGCATTGTGAACCTGTGGCTTGGCCGCCAGGATAAATCGTAGGAAGTGGACTATTTGGCGCGGGTTTATATGAACTTACTTGTCTACGCAGATACCCCTAAAGCGATTGACGTTCAATTGTTCAATTAACCTCGAAATTCCTTACGATTTCGAATGAGAAATACCCTTCAAAACTTCGAGCTTCTACCGTTCTTCACGAGCTCAGGCATGCTCTTCTTGTCAGTCTGCTGATTGCCAGAAGTTCGATGTTCTTAGAGGTGCTTGTCAACTATCCWCAAGAACATACATATATATGTAAGTGTATCGAAGAATTTCCAAATTCTTATAAATTTGAGTGTTGAGAGTTTAACACACAYGTGGCCGCCCTCATTCCCTACTCGTTTATTTGCACCTACCCATACTACCATATATAGTCTGTGTCATTTCAAACGATCATCCAACCTACCAAGTGGCAACTGTCACCATTTTAATTCTATGCACCAGATGGCCTTTCTCGATTTCGTACCAATCCAGCATCATTGCCGGCCATTTGCACGCTAATACATTGGCATTGATACAAACCACAATAATGGACCGACGAAATATTAGCGGCTCTGCACAATTACCAACTGTTTGTACGTGTATGCGTGTGTAAGTAAGAGAGAGAGAGAGAGTTGTTGGCGATCCAGGTTACAAAACGAACGGCGCCGAACGAAGGACAGTGAACGATTGTGGAATGATGCAGTCATGACAGACATAAATGTTTATGAAATAAAGAAGTTACATTACAATTTCATAAAAGCAAAATTGTATGTTTGGCTTTGTGTTTTTCCTGAGTGACAACAAAATCAATAAAGCGAAACATTAAAATGATAGCCGTCTAAGTGTCAAGCGCGAATCTTAATTTATGTGTATACGACCACTTGGAATTACATATTTTCTACTGTGACTGTGATTAAGTCGCCTAGGTCCTCAGTCCTCGGTGCTACACCCGGTGCTCTGTATGCATTTCTCTACATTTACGCTCTAAAGTTCTCGCGACTTACCAACACTGTCGCAGTTTATTGGTGTGTGA